ACGTCAGGATGGCGCAATTTGTTCTAAAAATAGAAAAATTGTCCCATATCATAGGTGCGCGAGGATCCCAAGACTTACGGTCTCCATCCCCGATTATGGCTCCTGCCCGAAACTTATTGTATTAAGATAACCTCTGTACGTTCATATTAAGAATATGAGTAACACAGCTCTGTAATCATAAGGTTTAAGATTTTGCTACGGCTTTCCGGGTGCGAAAACATTTCGGGACCCTCGAGAAACGGGCCCCAAAAGTTAATTATAGCGTGAAAGATGTAGGAAGATATTTAAGTGTATGACGATCTAATAAGAGTTCTTGATAACTAAAAACTCTAAAAAAGGACACACTGAAAGCCAATTACGACAAAATATTGATATCCATAACTTCTAGAATTAAACGATGGAACCGCATATCAGTAAAATTATTTTAACTTGGTAACTAAGAAATAATTCGGCTTAAAAAACCCTACGTTACTTTTTACTTTATATTAAAATGGAGAGGAAAACAGAGAGAAAAGTAGTTTAGAGCATTTAGGGCAGAGCAATACTAGAAGATAACTCAGACCGCATTTGCAGCTTTTACACCACATGTAACTTGAGACTAAGGCCTATCATGGGAATTAATTCGCGTACCCTTTATGTTCTTTTGAACAAATCTCATTGATACGCCACTGCTCCTCTAATGACCTGCCTGTAATGAGTCTTCGGGCACATTTTGTCATTTCGAAAGAGACAGCTGTCTTCACAGTTAGTGAAATATTGTGATCTGGAAGTTCATAAGGCAACTTAATGGTAGGCTTTTCCCCAAGTAATTGGTAATTGTGTTTGTTGGATTATTTAACTCTTCTTGTTGTTCTTTTTAATTTACTAGGTATGGTGAAGGGCTGTACATCCTCAGAAGTGTATTGGAATCTGTGACGAGTAGTTTCACTAATGAATTTCAGCTTCAACAGGTATAAAGACCTTCCTTGCTTACGACTTGTGCCTTTGAAATTTGAATTAACTCAATCAGCATTTACACTAAAGGGGGAAAAGCTACACTGTCATGACGTACGTGGACATAACACGACCAGTCACGGGTAATCCAGGAGTAAAATTATACACGTTGAACGTTCTAGAGGCGAGCTTACTCTGCCCCGCTGTTGCCAAGATTGACTGTCGGTTATTTTATAAAGCAATGTAGTGGAAAACAGTGCCTGTCTGAAGACATCGAGGAGTCATGAACTCACCTTACATACGGCAGCTACGTACGGCACCCAAATCTGAACTATCCTACCGAAAAAACACGATAAAAGTGTTCTCTTCGTAGCTAACAACGATTAAGGCATTGTAAACGTTGTGCTGGCCTCTTGTAATAATTAACTCGATAATGTTAGATGCACATTGTTTACAAAGGACACAGTATTCTGCTCCGAATAACACAACTACTACCCTACCTAGCGACAATCAACTGGCGCGGGCTTTACCGAACTCGAGAGAACAAGTTTGGCATCACATTTAAAGTTTACGGGCAAAAATGTTCCAGATTGTTTATTTAATTTGGTTTAATTCGTTATAGGTTCTTCCATTTAAATCCGTTTTTGTTTGTCTTATCGGTAAACTGGCCTGTCTAAAAGGCCTTTCGTGTAAACATCTCAAACACATTTTTTGATCAAATTAAGTAAATCGTAAGTCGTGTTCCCACAGGCCTTAATTATGATAGAATCAAATTGAACCATTTACGGGACCATATTATAATTAAGTTTTTGTTAACAACGGGCAAGCGTGCAGCGTGCAACTATTGAGTTATGGATGTACGCGGGAGGTTGCTAAGCACGAAAGAAGTGTAAGAGCCGTACGAGGCGAGAGCTGAATGCAACTCTAGCTTCTTGAGTGCTTAGCAAACCTCCCAAAGTTTACAATTTTATATAACATTGAGACTTTTGATATAGTGCTTACTGAATCGCGGCGAGTTTAGAGTTTACATTTTCTCGATCTCGGGCAAACAAACAACTTCAAACTGTTCAGTTAAACTAAACATCAAGCTGACAACAAACGAAAGTTGTAGTCGGTAAAAGCGTTTCTCAAAGGTTGGTTAAGCTTAAAGGGACACTGTCACGATATATTCGCTAAAAACTGTTATAGATTCGCGAAATGGTCCCTAAATTTATGTAATAAGAACTTAATTAGCTTTAACTAAATGATTAAAAGCAATTTCTCGAAGAAAGTCCACACTGCAAGAACATTTTTGCAAATTTCAACGATTTTCGAGCCAAACTTGAATCTTTGAAAAACTGAAATCCTGACGCTTTTTCAAAAATCGAAATCACAATCCGTTTCCATCCTCGCCATCGTTAGCCATCCTCACTTCAGGCTCTAATCATTTGTCGAGTACTGCTCTACAAAATAAAACTATTATTGTTAAGTTTCCAAAGATCGAGATATGTTTTTGAGATTTCCAAAATCATGCCTAAAATGGCGGCGGTGTCCCTTTAACTTTGGATCAGTTTTTCGAAGAATTGAAAACAAACTGCACATGGTTGAAGCCTTTGGTGGCTGAGCTCTCTGTCCTTCTTGGCCTCTTGGGCAAAAGAACAATCTGGAACGAGACATTTCTAAAAGCGAAAACTTGCGCTAGAAATTTGGCAGCTCATAGGAATTATCTTCCTCATCTCCGGAAGAATTATGAAATTTTTTCATATTTACGGCGAAAATAAAATAAAATAAAATAAAATAAAAGAAAATAAAAGAAAAGAAAAGAAAAGAAAAGAAAAGAAAAGAAAAGAAAAGAAAATAAAAGAAAAGAAAAGAAAAGAAAAGAAAATAAAAAAAATAAAAATAAAAATAGGAATTATGTCTTAAAAAAGTGGCAACGATGAAAAAAAGTACAAATAAACAAACGGACGTCAGCTTGCATCCCAAAGGGCAAATGGATCGAGCGTATTAGCCAATCAGAACGCGCGCTTGTCTAAGGCTATGTTATTAAATTACTTTAATAACCTGGAGGGGGTTGTTTAAAGCAACTTCAGCGCAAGGTTAAAGAAAATGACAGACACCTGATGGTAGGAAGAGACCAGACTTCTCATCGCCTTTAGGAGTGAAGAAACTCCCCAACATAATAAGCAACAAGATAAGCTACAGAAAAGTACACAAAATGGCAGCACAGAGCATTAATGAAATTAACAAATTAAAAATAAATATCACCGCGACGGTCACAGAATATCTTGTAGCCAGCAAAATTCCGTCTGCGATGTAAATCAAATAGGGAAGCATTTTGTTTTCAACTTCAGATTGTGAGGTTACCGGTCTTTTGATGCTTTTTTTAGTTCTGCAACATAAATGAAAAACTGGCTGGAGTTTGATACCCTCAGTTAGTTCTTCAGGTCAATATGATCAAAATTTTGTGTGAACTCGGCTTTATTATCATTGTTTTATGGTTTTTCAAACAATTGAGCCCTAGGTAGAATGCTATGAAAAGATTGATCAACCATCTCTTATGTTACGTTTAACGGTTTTTTTTTTCAGCTCCTAAATTTTGTCAAAGAACGCGGTAACGGGTCTGGACTGAGCAGTCAATCATTGTCGCAAGCGGTCGAGAGAGTTAAGGCCAACATTGCTTGGATCCAAAGAAATGAGAAGGATCTGGAGAACTGGCTCAAAATGTTTCTTTCCAAGAAAGGAGAACTGACAAAACAGAGTCCCAGCTTTAGTGATCCAGCTTAACGCTAACGGTTGTAGACGATGAAGTATAAACACAGTGTAGACTGTTGTCTTTTCATGATACTTTTAATCCTCATGTAACATATGTACCAGGCGTAGATATTTATGAAGACAAACAATAGACTGAAAGACTAATACTACGTGAAAAACGTTTCGAGACACCAACATGACAAGAACTGATAAAGTAGGATCGCAACAGTGGACAGCTGTTTCGCCCTTCTTGGGGCTCGTCAGCACTGTGTAGCGAAGATATGCAAAATGACCCGTTCAATATATCAAGTTCCGTACTTTGAACTCACTTGCGCCCCGAAACACGCGTTGCCACATCACTTGTTTCGGGGCGCAAGGAGACAAAGTGTCAAAATTGGTGTCTCGAAAAGCAAAAGAATAAATGTGGCTGGACAAGGCCAGCCTAAACATTTAAACATTCAACCACATAGCCAGTACCATGCTTTAAAAACGCAGCGTATCGGATCTGAAAAGACCTACGGTCCGAAAATACATGAATGAGAAACCGGAAACTGCAAGGGACCGCATACGATCGTATGCGGTCCCTTGCAGTTTCTGGTTTCTCGTAGACATTTAGATAAGTTCCTAATCTATCTATATGCAATCAGTCTTGTGACAATCAAAAACGTGCTACGATGCTCAAATTTTATTCCTTGCTATTTTATGTATAGTAGGGAGAATGCCGCGAATGGTTTAAAATGGCGTTTTCCGTTTCTAAATACTCGTATTAGTTCCGGAGATTTCTAAATTTAAAGAATTGTAAAATATGCAAATTAGGATACCGATCACGTCATAAACTCAATCCAATCAATAAATAGAGCCATCTCGGTCAATTTGCTTCACGGACCATTGAAACTTGGCAGAGTAATCGTTCTACAGACAGCACACTTACGGCTGTTATAAAATTCCGTTCATATGGCAACATCCTTTCCTTGCTCCCTCCAACCTGTTTTCAGTATTTCAGTCATTGAAAATTAAATAAAATTAAACCTGGCCAACATCTAGACCTAATCATGCAGATGAGGCTTCATTGGCAAATATCAAAATGGAAGACCAAGATGGCCAGAAAAGCTTTTAACATCGGGAGGTCTGGAATCCAACAGAGTCTAGTATCAAACTTCTGATTCAAATTGGTTGAGATATCTTTTACTTCGTGCGTTTACATATCACCCAGCAGTACGTGGCCTAAAAGAAATTTTAATGAATAACTGGGTTGTAATACGAAACCAGCCATTGCTGAAAAGCATCTATACTAAACCTTCGATTATATCATATAAGAGAGGCAAATCTCTAAAAGATACGCTCGTTAGAGCGAAAATTTAATTGAAGGCTAAAATGCATCGCCATCGCAATTCACGAGGGGAGTCAGTGTAGGCCTGTCATATCTTTTGTTTTCAAAAGTTTAAAAACTTAGTAAGAGAGTCTAGTAATGTCTTCGTCTATTTACAATTATCATGTATTATTTGGACCATTACACGCGAAATCGAAGCCGAAACTTAGTATAGTAGATGTTAAAAAAATAACGAGACCAATATCCAGCTCTCTTAAGCGAACAAGCTAGGTCAATAACAGATGTATTGTATGGCATAATGGAGTCCATTTACCCATGGTAAATACCGGGTAGTCTTTAGCAGGCAAGACAGCGCTATTTTCCAGAGCTGGATTTAGTTTCATCTTGCCCGCCCGCGGAACTTGCCAAAATGCCAAAAACACCCTTAGGCCACATTACGCCAGGAATATAGGCCGAAGAAACTTGAAAACGGCATTTCTCTTTGAAAATTAAACGCATTAAATATTTTCCATCCACACTGCGCCGAGGAAATTTGAAAACGCGACAATCACCATTCATTTTGGAGGCGTGAGGAAAACTCGGGAAGGGAAAGCATATGAGTATCGTGACGTCATCTTTTTGCCACCTTGATTTGAGATCGCCCCGAAAAAGTGCTTCAAAAAGTTGTATTTAATTAAATAACGGGGCTCATGCCACCGTACGAAATCGAAAATTTACTCAGTTTTCTGACAAGCGTAAAACTGAGTAAAGCTGGAAAGCAAGCAATGACTTACAGAACCGCTTTTAGACGTGGAAATACGGAAAGTCCCGTCAATACGAGCCTTGTAGTAACTTTACGGTTGTTTAAGTAACGGAATAGTAAAATTGCTATTTCATGATGTGTCAATGAGCTCGTTTTAGTGCGAAGTCCGTAGGACGGAGGACTATTAGGCTTAGAATATTGGGAAAGGGTAAAGGAAATGCTAGTTCCTGATCGAAAACGTGGCCTTCTGATGTCACTATTTTCGTCAATATGTCGACGTACGTAAAGACTGCAACAGAAATCTGTTGAACTTTTCATTGTTAACTCCGTTGACTTCGTATAGGGGTAGATGGGGTCGCATACGACCTCCCTTGCGGGGTAGGTGAGGCAAGTGGCCCCTTGAAAATACAAAGAAACTGCCTTTTTCCCAATCCTCAAAGATTTCTTTGGTACCTATTGTGTTTTGGTTCTATGTATATTCTAGGGGGTAGAAGAAACTTCTTTTATGATCGCAGCATCCAAATAAAATGACGTCGTGTGTCGTGGTTTTCTTCTAGACGGCAAAATTCTGCACTTAGAACGAAAACACATGTTTAAAGAGTTCGAAATGGTAACGAGTAAGCAGCAAGAAGACTCGACCGATGGTTAAGAGGGCGATAATGACTTAGAAGCAATGATATCTCTTCAGGTTGCAAGAAGGCCAGAATCAAAGGTCGTCCTGAATAAGCTTCCATGTAAACCAAAACTGCGCTACGGAACAATGTGGGCAATTTGAAAATGGGCTTTCTCGTCTACAATATGAAAATATCGCTAGTTCAACCGAATGTATTGCTATTAAATTAGTATTCTCTACTAGAGGAATTGTTTTGGTGTTATTTGTATAAACTTGTAAGCTGACTTTTGCGTTCTCAACAGATAGACAACAACACGCATTTGGATAGCGCAAATATACTTTTGGAGAACTCTTTTATCCAGGTCACTACCTTTCATGAACATGATCTTTATGGCGCTCACTTATTTATAATTAAGTGAAGCTTGCTGACTTCGCACTTTCTGTTCGGAACCGCTCGTTGGGTTTCATGCATTTAAAGCCAAAATTAAGGGTTCTAACGGGTTTTGCTCTTTCCACAACCTGTTTACCAAAAACTGGCCTTTGCGTGATACTAATATTGCAACATCTCTTAATAGAGAGTGATGCGTCAAAATATATATTTTGGAAAGTCCTGGCAACTGCTGCCAGTCGCCTCAACTCTGCCTTTCCTAGTAAACACCGCTTAATTGCTCATGCCGCGCACGCATAGCTAACAATTAAAACCATATTTGAAATAATTGAGGTAGCGTCCCATATAAGTTGGTTACCTTGCTTGGTCAAAGATAATGTAATTAACAAATTAAATAAAATGTTGATGATGACGTCAGCAAAGATCACTCGTTATCTTTATTAACCTACAAATACAGAAATGATCATAACTCGGTAGGTACATACGTGCGAGTTCTTAAGAAAACCTTACTGGAAACCTCAACGGTCGAAACGCTACAAGGAAAAAGCAACCAAACAAACAAATCAAGGGACACATACAAACTACGAAAATGTGGGCATTTTACATCATAGTAATGTTACGGTCCATATTGGGAATCAATCCTACTATTGATTTTGCTTTGCTTAAGGGCAGAAGCACAAAGGCATGATTTTTGTATTCGTGTAAGACTATAATACTAGTTTTCAAAGAGAAGCAACTCTGTAACCGGTCCGTTACACAAAACGAAATGAAATGAAAGGAACAGTTATAGTGAGAAGAGCAGCCTTTGAAGTGGGAGAGCAATGATTCACTCTACAAGAGGCATGGCGCTACTGAGTGACATACCAGCCAACCCGGCGTAAATGACAAGTGTGAAACATGAATCATACCGTGCAAAACAGGTAACAATACATAAGGCCAATCAAGGTAAAGTAAAAAGTAAGTAA